AAAAAAAAAAAAAGAAAGAAAGTACCACTTTGTATCTCGCCTGAATGTTGACACCATTTCAAGCACAGATTGAGCACACTCAACACTAATGACCAAAGATCAGGTAAGTTTGGGGAATGACATGAAGGGCATCACACATAAAGAAAGCAAAGACCAATATGAATGTCAGAAGAGAGTGAAATTTGCTTGTGAATGTAGAGTACCTTATGAGAAATAAAGAAACGATAAGGTAAAAGAGTCAACAGGATGTTCCAAGGGCAGTTCAAGAAGACAAAAATAACATAATGTCATGAAATGTGAAAAGATCTGACGTTAGAAAATCCAAAGGGAAGAATAAACCCAATCTTTCTCAAGCTAAAAGAACATAAGAACTAAATGCAAGTCTCAAGTTGCAATATTGAAAGATTCCATGGGCAAAATACTGAATGACAAAGCATCAAAAGAAGATGGAAAGAATACACAGAGTCACTGTACCAAAACGAACTGGTAGATATTCAACTATTTCAGCGGTGAGCTATCATCAAGAACTGATGATATTGACAACCAAGGCTCCAGGAATTGACAGAATACCAACTGAGATGTTCCAATACCTGAGCAAGTCATCAGACAAGCTGGGTTATACAAACAAAAATGAAGCATCAGGATCAGAGGTAACTTTATTGACAACTTGTGATACGCAGATGACACAACCTTGCTTACTGAAAGTGGGGAGGACTTGTAGCACTCGCTGATGAAGATAGAGGATTGCAGCCTTTGGTATGGATGACACCTCAATGTAAAGAGGCCCCAAGTCCTCAAAACTGGACCAGTAGGTAATGTCATGATCAGTGGAGAAAACATTGGAGTTATCAAGGATTTTGTCTTGCTTGGATCCACAATCAATGCTCATGGAAGCAGCAGTCAAGAGCTTGGATGATGCACGACATTGGGTAAACCTGCTGCACAAGACTTATTTAGAGTATTTTAAAGCAAGGATGTTACTTTGAAGACTAAGGTGCACCTGACCCAAGCCATGGTATTTTCAATGACCTCTTGTGCATGTGAAAGTTGGATGCTGAATAAGGAAGACTGGAGAAGAAATTGATGCATTTGAATTGTGGTGCGACCGAAGAATATTGGAAGTACCATGGACTACTATTAAAAGAACAAACAAATCTGTATTGGAAGAAGTAAACCAGAATGCTTCTTAGACTTAAAGGATTCAAGCCTTTGACTCACTATGGACATGTTTTAAGGGGAGATCAATCCCTGGAGAAGGAGATCAATGCTTGGTAAAGTAGAATGGGAGGGAATGAGATAGATTGACAATGTGGCTGCAACAACTGGCTCAGGCGTAGGAACAATTGTGAAGATTGACACAGGGCCTGGCAGTGTTTCGTTCTATTGTGCATAGGGTTGCCATGGCTCAGAATGAACT